GATCACACCTAGAGAACATACTGCCTCATTTTGTACAATTTATAGAAGAAGAATTTTGCTAGTTAGCAGACAATCTGTTCCTGAGCAAATACTTATTTTTGGGAGTTAATGGAGTGAATTTGACTGAAAAAAATCCTCGGGGGTACATTTAATTCTTGCTGTGCAGTGTGGACAGTAGATTAGCAAAGCTGTTCTCAGCTGTGAATGAAACAGGTGGTGAGGCAGTGCTGTGATTATTTGCTCCTTGACTAGTTAAAAATCTCACTTTTGTGTTGTGTTTGACTTTGCATTTTGTTTTTGCCCTGGAGTTAACAATGAACTATGATTGATTCCTGAACCACTGTATCACATCCTTAAGTCATGGCTGGAATGTCTCTCCCAAGGATTTCTCTTCCTTTCCAGCAGAACCTACATAAGACTCCTCACCGGGGGAAGAGGCAGTCTTGGTTTGCATGTTAACTTCCACTTCCCCTGAGGCTCTTAAGGGATTTGGAACACATCCTTTTTGTCTCCAGAAAGGATACCGGGTTATCTCTGTCACTTCCAGCTATAGATAGCTTCAGGGAGTTGGCTGTTGGCAATTACCACACCTTTCTGGAAATCCACTGCAAGTAATTAGTGGCTCTCCAAGGTGTTCTGCCTACAGGTGTTTTCTGTTTTGCCTTGATACCAGGTGGAAAGCATTGGGAAATCTGAAATTGAATGAAGCTTGAGGATGACTGAAAGCTTTCATCCTCGGCTTGGGGAGAGAATATTAGGGGATTCACAGTGTGAATGCAGTTGTGTGAGCACAGGCAAGGGAAAAAGCCTTCCACCCCAAGGAAGTTTGGACAGCAGAGGGAGCTTGTTCATGTACGCTGTATCTCTCCCGGCCTCTAAGTGCATCTTTCTTTGCCTTTCAGTTGTTTGGTAAAGGAATTGAAAAAATCTGGGCACACATTTGCAGTTGTGCTCTCTACTAGATACACAAGTCCCACGTAATGTGTAAATCAAGGAGAGGGGTATGATCTGTTGAATTGGTTTTTTAACCGAGTATATCTGCTATACACAAATCTTACTCTTCAGCAATTTCTACCTTGAAAAACTGTTGGGTCACCATATGCTAAAGAGAGGAACCCCCTCCCCAGTACAGAAAGGTAAACCCTCACCCAGTAAAAACACCAGTTAAAGTGCCTGTAAGAAGCTTGTTTAATAACTGCTGGAATAAAAGCAATCTGCATTGGCATATCTTCTGTGTACAGGTAATGGGCATCAAAAAATACATTCTTAGGTGCCTTCACAATCTAAAAATCCATCAGGTTAATGAAATACTTAATCTACTGCCAGTGCTGCACTTACATGCTCAAAGCCTTCCTTTCCCACTGCGCCTTAATTAGTGTATTAATTGATGTTGCTAAACCTCATCAAGGATGGTTTGTTCTCTGTTCGTTGATTTCAAGGAAAAGCTGTGTAACTGCTTTTTTAGTATCTTAAAAATGTTTGGAGAAAATTATGATGATTTTTTTTGGTAGAGTTCTGCTTTCAATCAGAGCAGCCTACAAGAAAGCTTTTTCTTTGTTCTGACAAACTTTGCTCTTCAGAAGGACAGTTATTTTCTGTCTGAGAGGAAGCTTGGGTTTTCATTTTGCAATTTTATTTGTTTTTGAAGTTGCAGTGTACTTGAGTATGAAGTTTCTCTAAGGGGACTTCAGTGTACTTGAGTTTAAAGTTCCTCTAAGAAAAGCTAGTTTCTCCTAGAGAATACAAAAGAAATGTAATGTATTTGTGTAGTTTATAATGCTTAGGGGAGAGACTGTGGTGTAATGAAGATTTCTCAGATTGTAAAAATTTGTATGGTATTGATGAAGAGGAAGGTCTTACCCATGCTAGGGCTTGTTTTTTTTCTTATGGACTGTAGACATCTACTATTGCTGAAACAGCTTGTGCTCCTTATTAGCAACTTTATATCCTCAAAAGAGACCTCAGGTTTTCCCATGCCTTTCCACCTGCTTGGAAGAATTACACACAGGTGTTTGCCTCTTTCCATGGGATTTATTCGAATTACTGTGTTTTGGATTTGTGTTAAGGACTTCTCTTCAGGAGCTGGTGAGGGAAGTACCAACAGGGAGTGTACTGATGGCTGAGACGATGTTAATGACTTCCAGGGATCTGGATTGTCTTTGGGCAGAATAGCTGTGAGCCTTATCACCTACTGCTGAGACTGCCTGTGAGCCCTTTTACTTGGGCAGAAGGTACATGTGGACAAGTGCTGCTTCAATGGCAGGAGAAGAAAATTTTACGTATTTTCTCGTGGAAACAGAAGTCTTATTAACATTGATTAAAATGCAAGGCAAAGGTCTAAATTTGCTGCTCGTGTAGCACTGTAGTATGAACTCCAGATACACATCCAAAATACATCATTTGTTTATTCCAAAGCAGTCAGTACTACTTTGTTTAACGTAATAGATTTTTTAAGACACCTAATATAAATAATACAAACCTCTGTTTGCTGTTGAAAAATGGCCTAAAGTAAATTCCTAGTCTTACACCCTTGGTTTGCTGCTTGTGCTTTGGGAATACTATTTTGAATTGGGCAATCACCCAGCAATGCTTAGAGCTGAGGAATCAGGAGGGGAAACATAAGATCAGAAAGTTGTTCCTCTTTATATTAGAAAAAAATCCTTATTGCTGTTGACTTCAAATAAAAAGGAGTACTTGTGGGTTAAGAGTTCCTTCCCAACCTGAACATGCTTGGTCAGAGAAGAGCCACCCTTTTTTTACCATTCTGATCTCCCACGTGGTCTGGTAACACACAGAGAATTTGTTCCCAGATGCTGCTCTGTTACACTGAGCCTCTGGCACCAACTGGATTTGAGTTCATTCTCATATTTTGAACAGGGGGTTGGAGTACATGATCTCTGGAAACCTCTTTCATCCTAGTTTATTATTCTGTGGCTGTGATACAATTTACATCAAGGACTGCATTTGTACTGAAATGTTGGAGCCAGGGTAACTAGGAAACAGGATAAAAAGTTGCTGTAAACTGTGTCTGCCTTGCTCATCAAGACAGGGACAAAACTGCTTAGAGCAGTACCTCACTGATAAACAGGAGCTCTGTATTGCACACATTGTTTGTAGTGGAGTCCAAGAAATGAAAGTAAAGTGTTTCTGGAAGCTGCCAAATGAATTTGAAAAACCTGAGGAACCTTATGGTAAAGAGAAAAAAACAAGCTGTTGATAGTTTTTGCCCTGGTGGGCAAAAAATGGCTGGCATTGCCTTTTTATCTTACCTTTGCAATGTTACTGCTTTAGACATAAAGAGTTCTTTAAATCAGTGATGTTTGCAGTGAGTCTTGTAGAGGGCTTCATTTTGCATAGGTGGGGTAGGAACAAAATGTGAGCGAACACAGATTTACATTAGGGATACACAAGCACCTCAGTGGCTGGGGCAAAGGAATTTAAAACACTGAAGCCGATATGAATTAATTGTTGGGACCAGTAGTGAAAACTCCCGACCTTCAATCCAAAGAAAAACTGTTTTATTATTTTTTTACTATTTTTTTTTTTTAATTTTTTTTTGAAGGGAGGGAGTAGTGTAGCGTCTTTTAGGGTCGTATTGTGATGATGTAAAGTCATGTGTGGGTAGTTTAAGCTGAAGAGTCATGGAGGAAAGCATAGAAGCAAACCCATTATTTTAAGATACTGCAGGAAAAAAAAAACAACCCATGGCAGTTTACTTCAAATAAAAGAAAATACAGTGTCAGTGCATTGATGAAAACTGGATTTCTTCGGTCTTAGCCATTGGTTTTTATGTGGAAAGATAATCCTTAACATGGGTAGGGAACCAGTGAATTGTATTGGGAAACCAGGGAAAGTTGTATGATGTATTTTTGTGCAGGTGTATGTGGAAGGCCCTGCATTCTAAATGTCATCCTCTTCATAAAGCATTTCTTAATCTCTTCTGAATTTTCAATAGGACAAGTAATTAATTTGTCTATGCACTGACTAATGCCTAGTAATTACTTTTATCAGTTAAATAAGAATAATAAAAGCCTTTGGTAGTAGATCATTATTGAACTAGTAGTGGTGTCCTAAAATGTTGATAAAGGTCGATTTGCTTTATTTCACAGTAGCTGAACTGTAGAAGTCGTTGTGTGAGTTTTGGGTAACTCCAAAGCCACTATGGCGGTGTGTGTTTGTATTTGCAGCGCTGCAGAGGTCTGGTTCTCAGGCTGGCTTTGGTCTGCATTAACATTAGAGTGGCTGTAGGCAGTACAGCCGCTTCAGGGAAGGTGTGATGGTTAACAGGCATGGAGTAGTTTACAGAAGGACTTGATACTACTGCAGTAGGATAAAAAGATCTGCTGGATCTCAGTACCCTCACTTGGAGTGAGATGCTTTTTGTTGGTCCATTTAAACTTGTGGAGCATGGTGCAAGAAATTTTTCCTTTAAAGGAAGCTGAATCCCTATGGTGTATGTTACAACAGAAGACAGATTTGTTCTTTCATGGATTTCAGGTTTTCCTATACGTTGTCACTGTTGGTTGCACTTTATGTGCTATATGACGAGATCATTTCAGTTGAAAACCATACCACTAATTAAAAGAATGATCTGTGGATAGCTCGGGGCAGAAATTACTTTGTGTTTAATTACAAGTCAAAGTAAGTGCTATTTGAGCTTTAAGGTCTTTAAAGTAAATTTAAAAGAAGAAAAGTGTAAAAGGTGGTTATGGTTTGAAGTGCTCTGAAAAATTAAGGGGCAAGATCACAGGCAACCTGCTGAAACCTTAGGCTCTTGCTTTAAAATTTCCTTCTATTTTCTAAACACCACTCTGCAGCTGTTACCTGCTGAGTCTAAATTGGGGTGAGGTCATAAGATTTCTCATCACTGTCACTTCTTTCCACAGTTCTTCTTTCCTCCTGCACGGTTTCCCTGTTTTTGGCAAGCTTGAAGTCTGAGCAGGAGTACTTGCTTACCAGGCTGTTTGCTTATTTAAGTTTGTTTATTTATTTTATTTAAGGTTGCCAATCTTGCTTGTTCGTTGTCAACAAATGAAGATGGAACGAAAATTGTCCAAATGGCAGCTAATCACATTGAGACTTTGTGCCCACAGGTAGGCCTTGTTCTCTTCATTCCCACAGCGGTGCACTCACCATACACTGTGGTATTGTCACACAATGCGGATGTTTTGTTGTTTTCCTTTAGTCTGAGTTCCCATTCCATTTACACAGCTCTGCCTAGCAAATGGAGACTAAATGATAAATGCAGATACTTGGTAATCTGTTCATTTGTTCTGTTAACATAGAAATGGTTAATTGTCTGCATTGGTTGGGAGTTCTGAAAAGCTATAAAAACAGCAATTGCAAAAACATGCTGCTCTGTTTCTGAGATCACACCTGATTAAATAAACATTGTAATGTGAGAAATCTGGAATAATTTACTCTTAAAAAGCGGCACCTATTTTGGCCTTTAACTTGAAAGACTCACCACTTGATTTGGTTTTTGTGTAAGTGAACGTTTAAGTATGAATTCTTGTGATTATCACCCATTTAAAAGCCTGAACTTTTGTCTGAAGGAAATGAATGGAAAAAAAGCACAGCTACAGATAAACTTTTTTCTAAGATATTAAGTACCAAAAATGTGTTCACTTTTTCATGCTCAGAGTTACAGAGATATAAAAACTTCTGCAGTTAGATCTTTTAGAGCAAAGATTTTACTGATTCCTGTGAATCTGATCTGTGTTGCAGCCTTGAGGCTGCATAATTTCAAGATCATTAGTTCTTTGAAGAACACTCTAGTTTACATAGTGGCATAAGTATTCTTACCCTTTTGTGGTAATATAGTTGAAATAAAAGATGAAGAGCAAATATTAATATGTTCAATAACAAGCTTGAGAAGTCTTACGCCTCTTGAATAAATGCAAGTCTTGGAGAAAGAAATTTCTTTGAAAGGAAGTGTGATGTTTTCAAAATGTTACAAATCAATGTTTTCTCTTGAATAATTCAGTTTCAATGTGTGTTTTTAAAACTTGAAGAGTTCTGTGTTTCACATCACACTCCTACATGATTTAATGTGTTACTGGATTTGTAACAAGGCTTCTTTGTTTCTCCAGGGGTCAGGTGCACTTTTATAATGGGTTATCATGCATTCAGATGCAGCTTTTTAATTGAAATTGAAGCCTCCATATCTGATACCAGAAACTCCTAAAATCTCACTTTGACTAAAATATTGATTTTTTTTCTTCACAGCCATTTAAGTTTCTAGGCTTTTAATTTCCTATAATAAAATGAAAGTTTCTCAAGTTTATTTCTTTCCTTTTTGTTTAATCTCAAGGTAAAACTGGGGCGAATTAGTTGATGGTTATAGATCTGACTAAAAAGAGAATGTGGAATGTACATGATAAGATTATATTGCTACTAATGGTGTGCTCATTGTGCAGGATTTTCTGCTTTCTTAGATAAGGACCATGCCCTATGAAAGCAATTCACATTCTACCTAAGTAAGAAATAGCAGATTAAAGCCCCTGCATTTTTTCAGTACATCAGATTATTCCATATCATTTGAAAAAATTCCGTAGGGAAAATAATTATCTCTTAGATTCCCTTTGAGGCGTGTCAGTTAGAATTCAGGATGGGGAAATTCACATGTGGAACTCTGCAATGCTCTTAAATCTTCAGAGCGAAAAGAAAGATATTTTATGTGTTTTGCAAAATATTTCTTGAAGGGAAGCATGGTGTATGGATCGATATCTGATATAGTAGAAATAAAGTAAAACCTCTCCACTGCAAATGCCTCAAAAAGACACCCTAGCACTTACAGAAAACACCTTGGAGGAAAAGGCAGCTACAGAATTGGCAAACACTGGAGGGGAAAGCCTTTTGGCATTTGTTACATTAATCATACTCTACTGTAGATAAAATGTAGAGGGTTGATTCTGAACCCTCTTTTTTGTTTTCTCAAATGAAATGATTATCAAATATTTTGACTGCTCAACAAATGAAATAAGCTGGGCACTTATATTAGAGCCAATGCAAAACACATAATGACCCTGCAATGTTACGAATGTTTCATGACATTCATAAATGTTTAATCGGTAATAATAGAATAAAAAAATTAAGACCTGTTTGCATGTGATTTGATGAAGGAAGAATTATTTCTCTTCATATAACTCAATTTTGGTTGTGAGAATTGGTTGTTGTCAGGTAAGTAAGATGGCCAGTGTCAGTTCTAGTGGGAATCCATGTTACTGTCTCAGTGTGCCAGCAAAATCTCGACTTCAAATGAGTGCATGGGAAAGAAGCAACAGAAACAAACAAGGTTTTGTTTTTTAAAAACAAGGCTATCCATCTGTAGAGCTATTTTGCTAATACCCATTTTGGGTTTGTTACCCTTGTGCTTCAGTTCAGTGGTGTGTTTGGGGAAGAGTGTGGTTATTCTGATGGTAAACCTGTCAACATAGAGAGAATTATCCTGTGGGAAACCAGAGATTAGCAGATGAGAATCTGGTTCCTCTATCTAAACTCTTCATAGGGTTTTACATTTTTGTTGTCTAATCGGCTTTCAAATCCTGAGCTGCTGCTTTTGAGAGGAACGACCTTGAGCCTAAAGCTGGAACAGTTGTGTCAACACAAATGGAGATCAGAGGTGGGTGGTCCTAAGGCAACAGCTGAGATGATCTCCAGTTTGTCAGAGGGCCCTGCCTAGAGCCTTTTTAATAGCATAAAGATTCCTGGAGAGTTGTATGGAGCAGAGGTTTTGGCATATTTTAGAAGAACTATATCTGAAATAGTGAATTTTAGGCTCACTTCCTTTGAAAGGGAGCTCTCACTGGAGCTTGCTGCTAGTTACTGGAGTGGTACAGGGTGATTCCTGGAACATCATGAAAGGAAGGAAAATGCAAGAAAACCACACAAAGTGTTTTATGATTTAGCTTAATCAAGATGTTGATAAAAAATTTAGAAAGTCATTTGATCCCAAGTCATTACGAGATATTTTAAAGAAGAGATGTAAACACTGATACAAGTAGGACCTTGGATCTTAATGTTTTGGTGTGCTCTGTTTTTCTCTGAAGTATTGAGAGATAGATAGAAACCATCTGGTTATAAACTGAGATGAGAAGCAATTCTATGTAACTAATGAAAAGTGTGTAACACTTGGCACATTTGTGAAGGATTCAGCTGTGATTTTGAATGCCATCTTTTTTATATCCCCTAGCATAATGTACTGACACTAATATTTGCAGGACATTATCTTGCTCAGTTTATGGCAATTTAGGTTTGTCATTTTCAAAACCTCGGAGCAAGCTCATTGGGATACTGTGAATCCTAAAGCTGTGGAGCACAAATATTTTGGAAGGCATAGTACTTTGTGCTTCTGTACAAATAGACTTAGATGTTTGCTTTGGCATGAGCTTCTCTAATAAACAGTTGGAAGGAGGACACCTCCCCCCCACCGTTACTCTTAGGTGCTGCTCAAATTCTCATTCTGGCTGTGACTGCTTGGCTCTTTAATGATAGGACTTGGAGAAAGAATAATTAACTACAAAATGCCTTGAGGTTTTCCGTCTTAACTTTCATCTTCCAGCATCTGTTGTGTTAGAATAGAATTCTCAACAAATTCTCGCTTTGTAATATTAAATGAAAATACAAACCCTGGGTAGCCTCAGCTTCTGTAGCAGTACAGAAGCTGTCCTGTGTTATCCTCTTCTTGCCTCACCTGCAGTTAGTGAGCATAACATATGAGACTGAGATTTTTCAAGTTGCTGGAGGGCATTTGCTATAAATTCATATTGCACCAAAGTGCTATGAATGTTTTATAAACAATTTGTTTTTCCCTTTGCCTTTAAAACTTGAAAGTATTTTTCCTAGAAAGGAGTTTTTTTTTTTATCTCTTCAGCTTCATCCTTTTTTGTCTGAATTTATAAGTTAGTTTGAGATGCTACATTTTGTTGGTGATGCTCCTACAGCATAACGCCAGGGAGGGAAGGAATGGCAATAAAGTATCATTATTAGAGACTGCTCCTGGTAAAAAACCTACTGAGTCTGGGGAGGAGGGTAGGAAAGCCTAGAGTAGTAGAAGACAGCAAAATAATTCCACTGTTAAGAGATGGACTTCTGCATGGTTTTTGGAAGAGAGGGATGGACAGCAATAAAGAGCTGAAAATGTAAATAGCTGCAGCATGCAGTAATCGGTGTAAATAGCATAGGCTGACAAAGGAATTCATTGCTCTTGTTGAAGCAGGGAGCTAAAATCACTGATCCGTGGATCCATCTGACATGGCTTAGTTCTGGGGAGCTGTGCATCTCTCTTACCAGCTTTGCAGCTAACATGGAGATGTTTTCCAGCAGGAATACTGGCAGTGTGATGGGGATTCTTGTGAGTGCTCAGCACCCTACAGTCACCTGGGATGTAGGAACAGATGGAAGCACTTAGTCTGGCAAGCGCTTAGGGAAGTGGATGAGGTACACAAGCTGGTGTAGCTGCAGTGATGGCAGGATGGGCTGCATGGGCCTCGTTCTTGTGTGTGCCTCTGTCCCATGAGCTGTGGAACAAGCTTTCTGGAGTTTTCTAGTTTTCTACTGCCTTCTGCATGAGCTTGGAAAGCAAAGGCACAGCAATTTCTGTTTGTTCCCTGCACGCTATTCCCTTGCCCTGTGTGCGGGGTCAGACTCTGGGGAGACTCTGGCAGAGCTGTGAGGGAGGATATTGAAGGAATTGTGTGGATGTGGTCCTGAACAGCTGGCTCTGGGTGGCCCTGCCAGGGCAGGGAGTTGGACCAGAGGCACCTCCAGCAGGCCCTTCCAGCCCCTGCCATTCCATCAGTCTGTGGAGTATCTGACCTGGAGAGGGGTGAAAGAGCAAATCGTGCAAATGTTGCTTGATTTGTGTATCTGAGCTGCCAGGATTTTCAAAAGAGCTTTTAAATGGTTTTATGGCAGCAGAATCAAATTCAAGGTAATGGATGACTACCCTTCTTGTGTTTTCATAATTTCTGAGTGCAAACTACAATGCTGTAATGTCATTAAATGTGGCAAAGAGAGGTAACGAGATCTGCAAGGGGATTTTGTGTCCCATTTTGCGTTTGCAAAAATATTAGCAATTTGACTGCTCGCT